AACGACAACTACATTAGCACTTGTACTAAGCAATCATATTATTAGGGTGCAAACATTAATAACCATATCGGTATTCATTGGCAACCTTATCATCATCATCCATTTAACCATATCGTTAAATTAATTGAATCTACGTTGTTGCATTTGCGGTCAAGTTCTCACTATCCGGGAGAGACGGCGATTCAATCGATTCCTATCCAAATGGAGGGGTATTCCTAAACACAAACCACTCTTTCTCCGTCGAGTCGCAAACAAGTCACCTTTAGTGCGATTCAGAGTCGCGAGTCCGATCGGATCGACATTCTCGTTAGAACCACTCGCCCAAGGTTGTTTGGGACTCTAACCCGCCTTGGACTTATGCCAATGGCTCTCCGCACATCCTTACTACCTCCGAATGTCGCCCTCGCTCATCCCGGCTGAGTCGAGCTACTAGGCTTCAGCCGGGTCGGAACGACTTATCCGCCCGACTAAGTGTTAGGCTGCGTTCAACATGACATGAGGACGTCAGATATCGGTCCTTAAACGACTCGAGACGGAGTCACTATGTTCAAACCTACACAAGACCCCGCCCGGTCTTAATTTATTATTCACATGGTTCTTTTCCACGATAGCAAATATAGCCAACCGTGACCCACCTCATCCTAAAGCTCGCGGTGACGAAAATCACCGACTTCTACCGCACTAAGCATGGCTAAGCATATAACCCGTTTACGAACTTAAATAGGATTCGGTCGCGATATCTCGACAAGGAAGGATATATAATGCAGCAATTGGTTCCAACCAATTCCTATACTTAATGCATCATCAACAATAAAAGGTACTCAAAGTATTTGCAAAAACATGGGAGGCTTAATATAACTCTTACTTGCCTTTTCGAGAACGAGGAAGGCAGGTGGTCGAGGCACTTTCGAGATCCTCCATGGCGATCGCTTAAGTCGGCTTCACCGCACCTCGGGTTCCTCCTCCCGGTTGGCTCCCTCGAACTCCAACAACGTCACTCCCTCCGGCACACCTATTGCATGAATGCATAAGATAAATATCATGGATGCACATGAACATTATCGGGGATGCTCGGAGAATGCACATGTTCGTTGTAGTTTGCATATTCCAACAAGCCCTATTCAAAACACTTTACTTACCAAGTCTATACAACCTAATGTATAATTGCTCATCTTCAGTTAATGACCTAGCACCTGCACCTAAGCATATTTTCAAGTTAGACTAACCCCCAAACAATCAACGATTGCATTGCAACACATTCAATCAAGCATTGTATTTCAGCAAATGAAGACTATATAGCGGTACATTAAACTAGCCATAACTGGAGATGTATAATTCCAAATGACATGAAACAAGACAATCTGGAAAGCTTATGAAATTGTCTACAATTCATTTTTAGACCTCAAAGCATGATTCGACACTTTACCAGCTCAAATTCATAAATCAACAGAACTCTGTCCTCACAAGGCAGAGAGTAAGCAAAACAGGAACCTAACTTTAAACAGCTGTAGTTTCTAAACTACTGGGCCAAATGCCCTCAAATTTTGACAGGAGCTAGATACATAAGTTATCTACAACTTTTGTATTCAACACAAGCACAGAAAACCACATTATCATGGGGAACTTTCCAAAGTCCCCAGATCTGTCCAGAGGGACATAATACAACAAATAATTGTCAACTTATGATACAAACGCTTCATTGGACAAAACCAACTTTACTGACATATCACATATATCACAAGAACACCATAAAGTAGGATGTCCCTCACCAAAACATTTCTTTTAATACCTTTCTTAATTTATTTAATTAATTAGGGGAAATAGTAAACATATATGAAAACTGCCCCATTAATTCTACAAAAATTACAGTAGACACTACATGCTCTAAATAGACTACCATAAAAATTTCACACCATTTGAGTAAGTATAACAACCTACACAAAAATGGTAAGGCAGAATAAAAAATGGCATAATTAGGAATCCTTAGTGAAAAGTGTCAAGCAACAGATTTCATATTTTTTCCTTGTATCCTTAAGGTACTAGGATACTCTCCAACAAATTTCATAGTCAATGGATTCATAAATAAATTACTAAAATTCCCACAAGAATCATCCAATGATAAAAGGAAAATCTATAACTTAAAAACTACACATGCAATGTCTCTCAAATTTTAACCAGAGCTTCTACTAAGCAATACTAGCTCACCCACAAAATTTCACAATTTTTTGGATCAAGGAAACTCAAGATATGATTTAAACAAGTTTGCATGCATTCAAAAACACATTTCAAGTTCCTATTTAATTCATCCAAAATTTCTACATAAAGTGCTCAAGACATATTTTCTTAAATACTAGACCTGGCAGAGAGTCTAACAAAATTGGAACCATCCAATTTGGATCTACATAACAGGAGATACAAAAAATATCAAATAAGCAATCAAAACTGTATTTTGAACTATCCTTAAGAACAACAACCAGCGACGTGTGGAACCGGCATGTCACCGACCCCACCGTCAGTCATGCAGCAGCAAAAGCAGGAGGCGGCGGCGCGGCGCGAAAAAACGGCGTAGCTTCGCCGACGACGGTGACCTCACCGGCGGCGAGAACGGCACCAACGTGACCGCCCTAGACCTCTCAAATGCGATTGGCACCTAACCGCCGCAAACCCTACCGACCTCTAGGTACCCAGGCCACGAAGCTTCGGCTGCTCGGCCATGGCGCCTGCTGGCGGCGTGGCGTCGTTGTTCCGCTTAATTTGGACCGGCGTGGGTGGTGACATCATCACCCGAGCATCGGTAGCATGACAGGGAAGACGAGACGAGCGGGCTAAGGATGGAGGAGTGGTGGTGCGGTGGTCTGCGGCGGGGCACATGATGGCGCCATCTCCGCGAGGCGCGACGGTGCGGGAACGCCGACAATGACCTCACGAGGTCGAATGACCGCGGAGGAGATGACGACGAGCAAGAGGGGATCCTGGCGGAGCTTGGTGAAGGTGTAGTCTTGGCGTTTTCGCGGTGGTGAGTCTTGGAGCTTGCTGAAGCTCACGGCGGCAATGGGGAAGCGGTGGTTCCATTTCAGCCGGTCTGCGGAGGAGAAGGGAGAAGCGAAGAAATGAACCGAGGCATGGGGGCTCTCGGTGGCGTGCTACGGCTTGTCTTGGCGCTCTCGAGGCCCGCGCCGGCTCCCGCTCGGCCCGCCAACGCTGCAAAGCCAAATTTCGAGTTCTAATCGGTCGGGTCATTGTTGTCGAACTTTCGTTTCGATTTAAAAATACCGGTAACAGTGAACTTCAACGATGATTATCTCCTAAACTGTGTTGATTTAGCTCGTGGTATAATTAACAAAGTTGTTCATCTATATGCGAACTACAATCTTTACAATTGGAGCTCGAGCTGTTTGGGCTTGGTTTGTGAGATCAATGCTCCAAACATCAGCTCAAGAAACTGAAAATTGGTTTATGACTTAGAAAATTTTCGTGGTTTCAAAATAGATCTCAAATCTAACTTGTGGGGCCCTTTAGAGCATGTTGTGCACATTTTCAAGACTTGACTTCTAAACAAAGTTTGTTCCTTATATAATTCCCTACATCTTTGCTTTAGGTTGCTCAGACATGCAAACATCCTAAGCCACACTTTTTAAACAGTCAAACACAGGAGCTCTAGGGGTCCAAATTGGTCAACCATGACTTGGAAACCTAATTAGGCAAAATGATCAACATGAGCATTGTTCCTAATGACATTCTAAGTGTAACTAAGTTACTTACAAGCATTTCTAACCACACCATGCATTGGTCACACAAGAATCAATCAAGGTATACACTGAAACGATGAAAAACACAAGAAATGTTGCAAATGTTTCATAGTCATGTTTCACATATTTCATGATCTTGTTGCATCGTATTAACTAATCTTGTTTCACTAAGTGAGTGGCACAGGTTGCACTTAAGTGTTGGACACTTTACATTTCATAAAGAACAACACACATGAAATATACAACACGTTGCTATGTTTCGAAATTTATGTTTCATGTGCTATAAGTTCACAAAGGGATGCATGATGCTCATGTTCATGAAATGCAGTGCAAATGTGAAAGCTAAACACCAGTGGTGTTACATGTTGTAAGTGTTTCATCCCGATGTTACATATGTTTTTACACATATATTGCAAGTGTTTTCATCTAGATATTGCATATGTTTTGCAATGGCTACACACGTGTTTCTCTCGTGTTTCAGACGTATGTTGCAAGTGTTTTAACTGTTTCGAACGTATGTTGCAAGATGTTGCAAAAATAAATCTGGTGTTGCACATGTTGTAGTGGACCCCATTTGCAGTAGCTTCCTGCTGCAGCTGCTAGGCCCACCTGCATGCTTGTGGTGTGGAGGGGGCGTGAGCGGCAGCGCGGAAAACCGTGCGGGTGTAGATCAAGACGGAGCAGGCACGGAACACAAAACTGGCACGGAATACGGAGTGGTGAGGGAACGCATGTGAAGCAGGCGTTCGGGCGCTAGCCCCGTCCACCCTTTAACTATAGTTTGTTTTAATTAGAGAAACACAAACACTCCTCTGCCCAGGTCCGTCCGACCCATTCCGTTTCTCTCTGGACCGCTCAAGCAAGATTTGGGCATCAAGAAATTTACATGGGCCTGAACGGCCAAGCCCATTTCCACCTCATCCGGTGCGCGAGCGCGACGCACGGCACCTACGTGGGCCACGTCGCGGCGGGGCACGGCGGCCTCCTCGTCCCGTGCCGTGCGCTCTCCTGCCGGCCGGGCGCGCGACCCAGTGGCCGCGCGGGCGCGGCGCGCGCCGTGCTCTCCCGCTCCACGCACACGCTCTGCTGCCAGAGCAATGCCGCCCCCCTACCGTCCCCTTCTTCCTCACCTCCACCACGCTCGCCACCACCGCGAAGAAACCGCAGCCGCAATCGCCGCCATGCGACGCCCAATCCCAGGTCGCCGCTGCCTCCCAGGCCTCGGCGGCGTCTGCCTCGTACGCCGCGCGCATGCGGCTCAACCCGCACCTCGCTCTCCGCCTGTTCGACCACCTGCTCCGCTCGGGCGCCGACCCGGACCCCGCGGCGTACGAGCTCGCTTTCGCGTCCTGCGCGCGCGGGAGGGACCGTGCCACGGCGGCGCAGCTCCACGCCCACGCCGCCAAGCGCGGGCTCGTCGCCTCGCACCGCCGCGTGCGCTGCAGGCTCGTCCACGCCTACGCCGTCTGCGGGATGCTCCCCCACGCGCGCAGGGTGTTCGACGGCGGGACCGACAACGACATGGTCGCCTGGAACTGCCTGCTGCGCGGGTACGCGCAGGAGGGTGGGGACGCGGACTTGCTCCGTAATTTCTTTGCCAGGATGCCGTCCCGGGACAGCTTCTCGTGGAACACCGTCCTTTCATGGTGCGTCGTGAATGGGGAGTACGACGAGGCAATCGCAGTGTTCCGGGAGATGCTCGCGAGCCAGGAGTGCCAGCCTGATAGGGTGACATTAGTGAGTGTTGTCTCTGCAATTGCATACTTGGGGGCACTTGCACAGGGTCTCTGGGCACATGCATATGTCTTCAGGAAAGGTGTTGAAGTCGAGGAGAAACTGTGCTCAGCATTGATAAACATGTACTCAAAGTGTGGGTTCATTGAGGGTGCAGTTTATGCGTTTGACAATGTCCGAGGAAAGAGGAGCTTGGATACTTGGAATGCAATGTTAGCTGGTTTTACAGCGAATGGCTGCAGTGACAGAGCTCTGGAGCTCTTCACCAGGATGGAGTCAACAGGGCTTATGCCTAATAAGATTACTTTTAACAGCATACTGAATGCTTGTAGCCACAGGGGGTTAGTTGAGGAAGGTATGAGATGTTTTCAGATAATGTCTAGAGTTTATGGTATTGAGCCCGACATTGCACATTATGGTCGCATGGTGGATCTGTTCTGCCGTGCAGGGATGTTTGAGAAAGCTGAAGAGATAATTCAGATAATGCCGATGGAGCCAGATGCTTCCATGTTGAAGGCCCTATTGGGTGCTTGCAGAACTCATAAGAACTTAGTTGGGAAAGAAGGCCAGACATGGGCTTATTGAGGCTGCCCCAAATGATCACGCCGGGTATGTGTTGTTATCCAACATATATGCACTAGATGGCAACTGGGGAGGAGTGCATAAGGTGAGAAAGCTTATGTTGGATCGTGGCGTGCTGAAGACCCCTGGGAGCAGCTCAGTGGAACTTAACGGTGTAATTCATGAGTTCATTTCTGGAGACAAAAGCCACTCGAGGAAGAGGGATATATATAAGATGCTAGGTGAGATTTGTCAACAGCTTAAAAGTGCAGGATATACTCCTGACACTTCACAAGTGCTGCTAGACATTGACGATGAAGATGTGAAAGAGAACTCACTAGCTCTACATAGTGAGAAGCTTGCAATAGCCTTTGGACTGATCAGCACTGCTCCTGGGACGCCTATTAGGGTAGTAAATAACCTCCGGATCTGCGGAGATTGTCATAATGCCATAAAACTTCTAAGCAAGATTTATGGGAGGTGCATAATTGTTAGGGATGCAAATCAATTTCATCATTTCAGAAAAGGGTCTTGTTCTTGCGGGGATTAGTGGTAATATTTTGATAGCAATGATGTTCCTTCTTTTTACTTATTATACACTAAAATGTATATTATATATGAGACACTGTTGGCAATGGTTATTATTGTCCAGAGGAATTCTTAATGTGACATGAAGCTCTTGACTTTATTGCATTGTCTATTGAATACTATGGCACCCTTGAACCAACAACATGATTGACATCTCTTGTGTGTCAGCAACTTGAAACCTAATTATTGTCCTTTTCAGTCAGCATGATTCAAAACTGAACATGAACCTGAGATGTATGTCCTACGCAAAAGTGCCATTAAATTCAGATAAATATAGCTTATTTCATATGGTAGGGACTAGGAGACATCAATTACCTGACACATACTTAATGCTATTTCCTAGTGTACTGACATTCAGTAGTGGGTGGCAAACTGGCAACTTCACATAATTTTTTTTTTTGAAAGAGAAATGGATAGGTGAGGTGATAGGGCCAATTAGGCCTATAGATTTCCTTTTGGGGCATGGTACATTTTAGTTTCTGTTTGACAATGAGGCAGTACCTAATTTGTGCATCTATATTTTAATTCAACCTATTGGCTTTTATGATTTTTTTCACACATAACATTCATCTACCTGGTTGGTACATTTCTATTATCACATCATTAATAAGCACTTATATCTTGTTGTTGTACATTATCACCACTCGCTACCACTGCGGTGTCTCTGTAGATGAGGTTGCATAGCATTATCATGTTATTTAATAATAGGTCTGTATGGTCCAATGCCTTTAAAATATTTCTTGGTGCCTTCTTGGTTTATTTGCATGTTAGGCTTGGTCAAACTTTTTGAAATGGATGGATGTATAGATCACAATAAATGGTAGGAGCAATGTGGGTTTAGCTATCCCATGGGCTACACCTTTCACATGCTTTGGAAAAGGCCCAATACATACATTAGACTTGCTATTTTCTTTATCTTAACTGGGAAATTCGGAAATGCTATATGTCTGAGATGGCAATTACCTCCAGTACTGCTAGTTCTATATTTCACTTGCATGACTGTGTTGTTGATTTTGAAAGAGACATGAAGCGTTCTGCACAAGAAATTATAGCAATTAATAAATTGAGCAAAAGTAATGACTGTTATTTGTGATAAGGACAAAGATCAGCAACATTGGAGGGAGTAATCACTTCCACCGTGCTGTTGTTATTATTGCCTGGTGGATGTAGGGGCCTTTGAAGACATGTTATCAGGCATTTGCAAGCGCACAAATTTGAACATATGTGCTTTTCTGTGTTGAATCATCAGGTAAGGAGGAAGGATGCACATATCTCACATGTTTAATGTTTGCTGCTGCTTTAGGGATAGCACTGCAACCAGAGAGCCATAAAATTTGAATCTAATAACCCTGTTCCATTCAAAACTAAACTAATTAGACAAGGCCAAGCAAACTGGTAGTTCTATGTGAATTATCATGGACAACAGCACTTGTTTAGTTGGATAATTTGCACTCTAGCTGTTCAATGCATTGAAATAGGCACCCAGAAAAGCAAGGACTACTATATTAAGGGCTCAGATCTGGTACATTATGTCTGAACTTTTTTTCTTCACAGACAAGGCAACAAACACACGCACGCATACACAGATGTACACACACATAATGCTATATGATATACAGTAGAATTACTCTAGCACCATGCCAATCATTAACAGGTTGGCCTTGACAAAATAAGGAGCCTGCTGCCCTTATCAACTGTATTAGTTTATTTCCCTTCTTGGGGATAGTTCTTTAGTGTTCCCCAGATATGTATTTTGCAGTTTAATCTCTAGCTTACAGCTCTAATCACTACACTAGGAGTATAATAAGACCATTAGCGTACGACATAATGCATAATTAGGGTTTAGAATAATGAGTAATTTGGAGTCTCGGTTTGGATGATCATAACCCCCAAGGTTACACCTAACATAGACCTTTACCAAAAATATACTCACTTGCATCTCGCGTGCAGCTGGCTTTGCCTCAGACTGTGGTTTGTTTATGGTTTTCAGAAAGGTGTGGCATACACTTTCCTAAGCGCAATTAGAGATCCTGTACCCTATCACATGGGATCCGAATGCTGAATTAGCACACGGTGTGTGTACTCGCAATGTTGAGATATTATTATGGGCTAGCTTGTTCTGCAATCGAATCATCCATGTTCAACTCTCATCATTCATTCTTGGTAATGATCTCATTAGGACTGCTTTTGCGTTCTGTGCTTATCGATGCATCTCTCTAGTAACTGTATGCACAAACTTTTGAAGCATGTACAAATTATGGTAGGCGTGGTGGATTTGGTCTGATCATTCTGTTTTACTTTGAAGAAGCTTAGCCTGTCCTTATCAAAAACCCTCTGTGTTCTCTGGATCTTATATTGCTATTGTTTATGTTCTGATTCAAAAACCCCAAATCATCTTCTGGGACGCTCTTCTGATGATTCTCAAGTTTTGAAGGTTAGCACTACAGTTTTGTTGCAGCGAAGAAAAGGAACCTCATTGGAGCTGTTAAGCAGGAGGACAGTCTGCACAGGGAGCAGGGTCTGCGTGATGAACGAATCCGATGTCGAAAATCTTATCTTCATATAACATGGGTTGTGTTTTTTCACCTTTAGATACTTATGCTAACCCTAAAGAGACGATTGCCAGCTAATCCCATGCAGGCATTGTTCCATTTGTTTACTTGGAGTACTTTGGCTGTTATTTCTTGGAACTGTTTTGTTTGCAGGAATCCTCTGACCCTACTAGCACCGAATGGCCCGTTGCCGACAGGTAGGACCTAATCAACACAAGAAGTCTCATCCATATGAATATTATGTTTCCTTTCACTATACATTTTTTTCTCGTGAAGAGTGGAAAAAGAAAAAGCAGAACATGATGCCTTCTCTTATTTTTCAGCTACTGCTATCAGCTCAGCTCCCTGTTGCCAGCAAACTCTGAGCTGATCATATCATCCTGCCCTCCGCATTATCCAGTTTCTGCCGCAGGCACATTCGATGTGACGCGAACGCGAGAGAGCATATGGTACACATGAATATGCACGGCAATGATTGGCAAGGAAGACACAGATCTGCAGCAACCTTTCTGGCGAGCATAATGATGCGCGGGAAGATAATCTGGTGGATGGTCGGGTCCATTCCCCATTCCTCAATGACTGCATGCACGAGCCGGAGCCGATCCCACTCCCACCCCGGAGCAGAACGGGTGAATGCGCGACGCCGAGGCCGGCCGCCGCTGCCGTGCACGAGACCGGGCAAAAGAAGAGGAGCGCGGCACGGCAGTGGGTCGTGGCTCGCGAAGGCAACGCGCAGGACTAGCCCCAACCGGCGGCCTTGTTATTTTTTAGCTCTTTTTTTTTTTGAATTTTTTCACAAATATGCCTCTGGATAAAAGATTTCAGAATCTGAACTCTTAGTTCGGTGTTATTGTTGCTGACGCCGAGCTAACACGTCTCGATGTCAGCGTCCCTGGCGTTGAGTTCTTGGGGTTGAAGCCAACGTGGCGGTGACGTGGCAGAAAGCTCGGCGCCAGTCACCCTGGCGCTGAGCTTGTGTTTTAACCGCGGCCCCAACCTTCCTGCCCGAGCCTTCTTTCTCTTCTTTTTCCTCCCTCTCGGGTTTTTCTCTCCCCACCTCGTCCTACCTCACGAATCGACATATTGGACCTTGTAAACTTTAATTTGATCCATAGATCTTCGAGAACAAGGTATCCTCGTTTTCCTCTTAGTTTTTTCGCATTGATTCGGTATATATTAGTCGGATTTTCAACCTACGAATCGTCATTACTTAGGGTTTCATTCTATCCCTCAATATTTGTATTATACAATCGTAGGATGATGCTAAGGCGTGGAAAAGCTAGCAAACCTAGGTAACCGCAGCGCATGTAGTTAGGCTATGGGTTCATTGTTGTGCATCAAATGGGAAACCCTAGGTTTAGAGTTCAATGTTAATTACTTTCGGTTCTTAGAAAGAAATTGGTTGTATTGTAGTTATGATTCTCATTGGTATTTATTTGTGATGTTTTGATTTTTGTTTGTTAAATTACATCTGTCGATGTTTTACCACCGATAGCCTATCACGGGGTTATCCGGGACAGTATGTTCGGGCTTCAGCATATACGGAACTTGATAGTGAACGTAAGAGACAGTCGATTTATCCTGGTTCAGGCCCTCGACTGTGGTCGAGTAACAGCCCTACGTCCAGTCGGTATTAGCCTTTACGTTGTATTGATTGTCAAGTGTTGTTGTGTTCTATCGTGATCCTGTCTCTAGGAACCCTGCCCTCCTTTATATAGTCAGTAGGTCAGAATCTTAGTCGGTTTACAATGAGAGTTCCTAGTAGGATTACAGAATACTACTACTACCAAGATTACATTGGGAGAATCCCAATTAGACTAGATCTTCTCTCTTCCTTGCGGGGTATCCCGTGGGTCCCGCACCGACAAGCCCCCAAGCATTTCA